ACCACAACTCCGTTTTTTTAAACGGCATTAAAAGTGGCAACAAAGTGCCAGAAGAATTGACTTGTTTGTGAGTAAAACTTGGCCCTTTCAGCATAAGCTAAATTGAATCACTGTAGCATTTCTTTTCTTTGGAGGACATCCTATATCCCCCAGAATAGTCTTCACAGTTGAGCTTCCAGACGCTGGTCAAGAGGGAAACAGCTGTGCAGTTGGCCTTGGTCTAGTCATTGTTTTAACTCTTACTCTTCAGTGATGAGGGAACCTAGCAATGGGAGGAGGCTAATTAGGAGAATGAAAAGGATGAGATACTAAGAAACAGAGAAGTGAAAGATGGCTCAAGGTTGTTTTTATCTCTTGGAACTTCTGCATTAGGCATGTTACTAGATTCTAGGCTAAAGATTGCTTCAGTCCATAGAAGAGATTGTGGTCCCATATCTACCAAAAGTAGTGAAGTGAATTGAGAAATCTTTATAAAAACTTTCTTTGTGCACTGGAGCAGTTGGGAGCCACTGAATCTAAGTAGTCACTGAAGCTTCATTACTGTAGCTAATTAATAGACTTTGAATGTTGCATTATGACATTATAAGAATTCATTCCCCATCCATAAAAAAATCATATGTTGTACTTCCAGGTGGTTTTAGTATCTGAAGGAAGAGTAACAGGATCAAGTCCTCATACATGTGCCACTCACGTGCCCGACATGGTTTGAGTCCAAGTCTCAGTTCCTTTGGGCTCTCCTTCGTAATTTGAGGGACATTTTGGATAAAAGAAAAACAGAAATGGTGCAATTTCATCTACTTTTTGTAAAATTTTATAGCTGTGGAGACTTCCTGTATGAAAGGCTTATTTCTACTGAAGCACAAAAAGGAAAATGTTCCTTGTGTTAATTGTTGATGGCGTTAGCCATGGCAGCATAGATGTGCGGCTTAATGGAATGATAAGCTGTGGAAGCAATTTGCTCCCCCAGAGCAGTTAGCCCTGTGTTAAAGTGTCTGATGATAAACGTGAGATGGCACAATTACATGTCAAGTCTTAATATACCAAAAATTATAATATGTGATCTGACCTCTATGCCTTCACGGTCAGCGTGATAACAGAGGGAAGATTGGAGGTTTGCCTTCTCTCCAGCAGCACATTTGTAGCAAAGATAACTGCTATCTAATTTAGAGTTTGCCCATGTTTGGTGCATTTTTGGGGCCAATCATTTTCTTCCATTCTGGTTTTTAAAAATAAAAATAGGCTTTATTAAATGTTTATTTGCAGACATTCTTAACAACAGTAACAATTAAAAATACAAAAAGTTTCCCTTTCTCTAATATAAGTAATTTCCATCACATTACTTCACCGGTATTTTCTGATCGTATTTATTACATCTCTGCCCTTCAGTGCTTTATCAGGTTTTTTTTCCAAAGGATCATTTCCAGCTACAGGATGTTTATGACCTGATAACCCATTGTTTATAAAAGTGATAAATGGAAACTGTATTTCAGTGAGTTGGTTGTATCTCCATACTCTGCTGTGGTGAGTCAAGCTTTCTGAAAGTGTAAGTTTCTGTATTTTGGAAAGCCAGCTCCAGCTTAAGCATTTGGTTTGAGATTTCCCATGCGGGGCCATATCAAGATGAGCCACTGTTTGCATGAAGCAAATCATTTCCTTGAGGGGTACTCAGTTTGTCACACTGTGGCAGAACGTTATCAAGGAGAGCAGAGGAGGGGAAGGAATAACAAGCACGGTTTCTTTTTGCAGATTATAGCATTTTATCGCCAAGCAAAAACTTTTCCTTCATGCTGACATGAACATGCTGTGACTTATTGATGTAGTCTCCATTGAAGTATCCAGAAGGGGTGCAACAATCCCACAGAAACCAGCCCTCTCTTGTTCATCAGACTCCTTTCTCATGCTTGGCCCTGCTTCAGGCAGTGAGCCAAACTCTCACAAATGCCAGCAGAACTCCTGTTGTGCAACCTGACAACCTCCCTGCACAGCACATGCAACACAGACAAAGCCACAAGTCACACACATGAGAGAGAGATGCTGCTTGTGCAGCATCACATGGGCTTGATTCCTGCCGGGTGCTGACATGCCTGCTCCATACTCTCGGTGCCAAGTTGAACTCAAGGCTGCCAGAAAGCAGGCCGGAGTCCAAGGAGCTGAGCTGATGGATCCAGTGGATTCCTGCCTCCAAAGCAGATTCCTCACACGTGCCTAGCATCCATCCAACACCTTATCCTGTTCAGTGAGATCAAGTTCAGTGTTTAGAGCCTCTGGATAAGGACAGGGAGCTTGAATCAGTATGACCTGCCACATGCTTTCTCAGCCCTTGCCCATGGGAGAAAGACTGGATGGATCAGGGTGGCAGGGAATGCATTATTGTATGGTGGAGACCAGTCTGGAAAACATCCTCCATAGATCTAGTCTATGTCAACAATCTTCTGGTCACAAACTCCCCATTCTGAGCAAGGTGTTCAAGGCATTGGTGAAGTCTCAGCTCCAGGCTTCCTTGAATGGAATGGATTATCTGGGTCTTCTTTTCCAGTTTAGGTTTAGGCCTCATTTTTGGATAGAACGAATCTTGGTCACTCTGATGACTGGCCTCTTTTGGGAAAGAGGCAGGGAATGTAGAACCCAGTTACTTCTGGATCTCTCATAGGATATTCTCCTGGACCACCACTGTAAGTTGCAAGTAGGAGACACTCATCTACCAGGATTCAGCTTATATTTGCAGGGTCACTTCCAGAGAACTGCTGACTATAGTGCCTTGCAGAAATATTTTCCCTTGCCCATTGACTTGTCCACAATTTGTTGTGTTACAACCTGGAACTGAAATTGTGTCAATCAGCATTGTTACCACTTGATGTACACAAGATACCCCATTCTGTGAAGATGCAAAATATTTTTATTGTGGCACAAAAGTTAAACTGGTTGCACCAAGAGTCAGTCCTTGATAGAAGCACCTTTGGCAACAATGATTGCTGTGAGGCTTCTTGCCTACGTTTCTTTCAGCTTTATGCATCTGGATCCAGCCATGCTTGCCTGTTCTTTCAGCTCTGTTAGGTTGGATGGGAACCATTAATGGACAGCAACCTTCAAGCCTTGGCACAGATTTTCATTCAAATTGAGCTCCAGGCTTTAACTAGGCCATTCAGAGACTTTCAGGGGCTTGTTCTAAACCACTGTAGTGTTACTTTGGCTGTGTGATCCGGGTCACTATCCTGCTGGAAGGTGAACTTCCACTCCAGTCTCAGGGCCCTTACAGGTGAAGACAAGTCTTCCTCTAGAATTGCCCTGTATTCAGTTCCATCCATCTTGCCCTTAATCCTGAAGGTTTCCCAGTCCCTGCCAAGGAGAAGCATCCTCACAACATAACAATCCTTCACTGTGGGGATGTTGTTCTCAAGGCAGTGAGCACTGTTGGCTTTGTATCACACTGAATGTTTTGCAGCAAGGCCAAAATGTTTGAATTTGGTCTCATTTGGTCATGCACATTCCAATTGGTCTGTGATACGGATTTATTTTAGCAATAGTCTTCTTCTCACCACTTTTCCATTAAGCCCAGCTTTATGGAGCATCCCAGGGATAGTTGTCCCATGGACTATGTTTCCCAACTCAGTTGCAAATATCTCAAGCTCTTTCAGAGTTACCGTTGGCTCTTGGTTGTTTCTGCAACTAATGCCCACCTGACCTAGTCACTGAGTTTTGATGGATACCCTTCTCTAGGCAGAGTTGTGGTTGAGCCATATTCTTCCCAATTTGTCATAAGTGATCAAATAGTTCACCAAAGGATGTTCATAGTTTGGCAGGGTGGTTGTTTTTGTAACCCAACCCTGATTGGCACTTCCGCGCAACTTTATCCTGGAGTTGGGCTGATAGCTTCTTGGTCTTCATGATGCTGTTTAGATATGTTTGTCAACCATTTCTGTGGTCTTCCAGAAACAGGTGCATTTAATCTGAGATCACTTGGCACTGGAATTAGCACAGGTGGACTCCGTTCAAGGCTTATAGTAGATATGTGACTTCTGGAAGCAGTGACTTGCACCAGAACTTATTTAGGCATCTCACAGCAAAAGCTGCAAGCACCGTGCCTCGGCCCCGTAGCAGCCGTGCTGTGCAGCACCACAATGCGCATGTCATTCAATATCTCCATGGAGGTGCTGGGAACAGTCATCAGGAGATTAGGGGTGAGAAGTCATGCACTGGCAACCTCACAGTTAGTCTACTGAAATGTGCTCTAGAATGGATAGGACTTTCTAGAGAGCTTTCATTCATAGGGTTGCCATAAGCCAGAAACAGTTTGACAACACATAACACAATATGCTCTATGTGTGCCTGCCTTTATGCAGCTAGTGTAGAATGCAGTAGCAAAGGCATTCAATGGGACGCCCAGCGATGCTCCTAGGACTAATGTGTTAAAAGACGTGCCCTGGCTGCCTGTTTGCGCCTGAGCCGTGTTCGGGGTTGAGTCGCTGACATAGCCTCTGTTGAATGACTTAAGACTGAACCTCTGGCAGGCTGCCTTCCCTTACATATACCCCGTTGACCAAGATCATCAAAGGAGGCCTTGCTAGTCATTCCAAATTATTGGAAGGTTGCCATATACTACCTCACCCTTCTTGTAAGCAGCACCTGTTCTGTGGAGGAAACTCCTTTGTGCAGTTTGTGAGGCAGAAAATCTGGCTGCTTTAAAATTCCACCTAAAAATGCAGTTATTCAATGAAGCGTTTCCTGACTTCTAATGAAATTAGCAATGCTGCTGCACTGTACTTAGGCTTGTGCTACTCTATATTATTACTGTAATTGGAATTGTTTTTAAAATACTATTCTACATGTGATTTTAGTAATATTTTAAATGTGACTTCTGTATTTTTATGTACCCTGCTTAGGGATTTGATACCTGGCAATATGCAAATATTTTTAAAAGTTACTTGTAAAATACAGATAAATATAATATAGTGAAACAATATTTTCACAGTTTTACTTATTTTTTATATCTTTACTTTCAGATTGCAAGCAGTCACTAAGGGAAGATGAAGGAACTGTAACCATAAATAGAAGAGGAGCAATAAAACAGGCAAAGATCCATCATATCAAAAACCATGAATTTATTGCAACCTTTTTTGGACAACCCACATTTTGCTCTGTTTGTAAAGAGTTTGTCTGGTAAGAAGATTAGTCTGTGTGCTTTGTTACTTCATGTGTACGTACGTACATGCACACACACACACACACACACACACACTACATACAATCATGGTATAAGTCTAGTATTAAGAATTCCATGGGTCTACCGTCCATTTGACTAAGAGTCCCCTGTATAAACCACAGTTTTCCCTAGACAACTTATTCCTTAAGATGATGTTTTGTTTAACTTGCTAAAAGTCTATGGCAGGGATAAATAACATGTTTGAGGTGAAGGCAAACCAAAATTCCATTATCCTTCAAAATTTTACAATGGTGTTCTCAGATCCAAAAATGCATTTCAAAAAGTGTTTATTAAAGAAAAAGCCATTCAAAATGCATTATATTAGGAAAATAACTTGCAAAACATATATATTAAGCAAAAATGTTTATAAAAATGTATGCATTAAGACAAATACACACAAATGCATATCATGCAAACTTTAAAAGCAGCTCTCAATGTCTGGAATAAACCAAGGGAAATAGTGGAAAAATTAAAAACAGAGAGACACTGAAACAGATAGATTCATACATTTGTAGATGAGGACACTCCAAATTGTTCTGGCCAACAATTTCTAAAACAAGTGCTATACTCACTCACTTTCAATCTGCAAACTTGATTCTTCATTTATAAAGTTAATATATCCATTACTGACTCATTTCTGAAAGACCCAGGGACTGAACTTTCTTCCTTCTTACCCAGTAGCAGTTTCAGTTCCTCCCCTCCTTCTCCCCCGCTTCTCCCCCCACCCCTTCACCACCCATGAGCAGGTGACAAGCCATGGGCCATATGTAAGCATGGGTAATGCAGCTCATCTTACTGCCCTCCCCTCGGCAGCTGTGGCCAAAATTCCTCCCTACCCAAACTTGCCACAGTAGAGCTCAGTGGGAGTCTCTTGCCTTTGAACAAGTCCCAACACGAGAAAAGTGAACCTGGTCCCCTACATGGTTACACCTAGTAGGCTCCACCTTTCTCAATTTCTGAATGGAATGCATTATAACTGAACCTTTTCAGCTCAGGTGTACTTCTTCCCGTGCACTTAACTGCCACATCCATATTCTGACTTGAACTACTGTGAATGTACAGCTAGGTATTAATTTGAAAACCCATATTGCTCCCACTTCAGAACTCAATTACAGCTTCCCTAGAGAAGAAATGTACAAGTACTTCATTGGTCAGATAAGTCTGAAAAGGTTGTTTTGTATGTTCAGTTTACCACATATCCTTCCCTATTTCTTTAACAGGGGGCTGAACAAGCAAGGATACAGATGTAGACGTAAGTTGCCCACATCATCTTTTATTCTTGGAAGTGATAGGCAGTGAGCAACTTCAGCTGATGCGTCGGAACTGTTCACCTGTCACCAGAACTTGAGAAGATGGCCCTGGGTCATGGCTCTGGCTGCCTCTAGCCCAGGACTGTGGCTAGTGGCGGGCAGCAGCAGTCCGGGGTTTCAGCCCTACCTGGCATTTGTGGGGTTTGTACTGGAGACTTTAGCAGCCCCTAATGAGCACCTGATGCATATCCCTGTCCCAGCTGCCCATTAACAGGTATCAGAGCAGTAGCCAATGTTAGGCTGTTGCAGCAAGTAATAAAAATATTTTGGCAACCTGAAAGTACTAGATTTGTTAATGTTTACAGTATTAAGCAAAATTATAAATCCAGCCAATATTAAATGGAAATGGAAAGAACAAAAGGAGCTTGCTTGCTTTCTGAAACAGCAAGTGCCATTTCAAGTGGGAGCTGAATAGAACTCTCTGAGTACTACTTCATGGATCCTGCCCCTCAAATATGAAATTTAACTGTCTGTATCTTTCTATTCCTGTTTCTCTTCTGAAGAATGCAATGCTGCTATTCACAAAAAATGTATTGACAAAATCATTGGGAGGTGTACCGGCACTGCTGCGAACAGCAGAGACACAAAGGTAAGTGGCAGCATGTTCAGTCCATCCATAACAACATTATGTGCATTCCACAGTAAAACAGTGAAACTTAGCTCAAAAGAAAACAAATATTTTGTTTATTTATTTAGAATATGTACATGCCGTCCTTTCGCAGAGCCTCAGGGCGGCTTACATAAATAAATAAGAATAGTAGTATAAAACATAATACAAAAAAATTCCAGATCCACCCTGGCTGCTTATATCATGCTTATCGCTTATTATCATGCTTATCACTTACTACACATCATGCTAAATATCATGCTTATCACTTATTAAGTATCATGATTAAAGTGATTAAATATCACTTATTAAATATCATGCTTCTCACTTATTATGCAAATCAAGCATACTTATATGCCATTAGCATCGGCGAATATTTTGTTCCTTAAGAGTTGAGTTCTCAAAGATCAAGCAAGACGGTCCATGAGAAAGGCAAGAATAAGAAAGCAAAAAAAAAAGGAAATGTGTAGGGCAACCCCAAAAATTAAAATAAGATGGATCATTGGAAGAGAGCCTCTTCTCAAGCAGCTAAGCCAGGGGTCTCAAACTCAACTTCCCTGGGGGCCGCTGGAAGTAGAGTCTGGGTGAGGCTGGGCCTCATCAAGCGGTGGTGGGGGGCCGCTCATCCCGCATCGCTCCTGGAGGCCGGCGCTTGAAGGCCGCAGGGCCCCTCCCCCGTGCCCCGCCTGGCCCGGCAATTGGCCTGCGCGCCGCGAGTTTGAGACCCCTGAGCTAAGCAAATTAAAATGCTCCTGTAATTTTTAATTTTGTTTAAGCCTTGTTTATGGAATTGTACAGAAGTCACAAAAGAAATCATTTTTGTAAAGGTTGCAAGGAGCTGTGCAATTCCAGCATCAAGCCTTGGGCACCAAGGAGCAGTGCAAGCCCTGCGCTTGCCTTACTACGCTCAAGGAAAGTGATGAGGATATTAACACGAGGCAGATCACATTTAATCTTTGTAAACCTTCTTCTAGTCCAAGCAGAAGCAGAATAGTAGTCAGAAACCAGATCCACACTTTCAGTGGAAAAGGAGCACAATATTCATATAAACTAACTATAGAGACTTAATTTTCCAGAGGCTCACCAAATCCCTGCATCTTTCTTGGACATTTCAGAAGACATTTCCTTCAAAACAATAGCAGTCATTTTCATTATACTAGTGTGAGTTTGTGAGCAGGATAATATCTGCAATTTATTAATTTTAGTTGACTGAGCTGTGGTCTTAATTTTCATTTGTTACACCTATAGGATATTTATTCAGATAAATGATAGATTTCTGTCTGCCCTGCAAGGATTTAACTGTTTCCCTAATAGAAGTTTCTCTTTAGTTTCAGAAGGAGCGCTTCCACATTGACATGCCTCACAGATTCAAGGTTTACAACTACATGAGCCCCACCTTCTGTGACCATTGTGGGAGTCTTCTCTGGGGACTAGTTAAACAAGGATTAAAGTGTGAAGGTACGATCTATTTCTTTTAATCATGAAAGGGATTGAGTCAAAAACAGCCACAACAACAACACCACCACCACCACCACCAAGGAAGTCTTTGGAAGGAAAATGATGTTATAGTTTTGTATGTAGGGCTTTTTAAAACAAAAACTTTCCACACAGGTCTCAGTTTAATATAGGTATTTGCCAATCCTTAACTGTATTCAGAGCTGGAAAGACCTGAAGGACCTCCAAACCAAATGCTGTTTTGCTGTTTTTGCTCCAACAGTAATGTTTTCTCCTTCCTAATATTGAGAGCTGAAGGGGGAAAGGGACTATTAAAGGACCTAATGAGCAGATGACCCACATTTTTGTACCAGTAATCATAAAATGTTTATCCTAAATGTTATTGATTTCTTTTTTAGAATGTGCAATGAACGTACACCACAAATGTCAAAAAAAGGTGGCAAATCTATGTGGCATCAATCAGAAACTATTGGCAGAAGCTTTAAACCAAGTTAGTCAGGTATGCCTGGTTAGTGCTGAAATATCCTCCTGAATATTTATCTGTTGCTGAATGCCTATTCGAATCTCCAAGTGATAACAACCATACTATTTATCTTACTAATCCTGACAGTCTGTTCAACTGCAAAGTTGAGGATTTTACTGCTCTAGTTTAGCTGAATTTCATAATTGTGGCAAGATTCTGTTTACCACTCAGCAAGAGACTTAGAGTTAATCTCTATAGAAAAACAAGTTTAATATATTGCCCACACCATAAGATCCTATATCAACTATCCAGTTTTACATAATCTTTTAGCAATTTTATCTTCACAGTCTGTAGAAAGCAGTCCTAGTAAAACAAGATATAGTACATCTTCATTTACTTCCAAAATTCAGGTGTGCAAACATTCCCCATATTGCATGAGAAAACATCTGTCATGTTGCTATAAGATTAACATTTATTTGAAAACTTTGTCTATCTCAATGTAACAGAATCATTGTTCATTTAAGTGCTAAAATAATCTTGAATGTTTGCTGTTTCTTTTCAGAGATCTAACAGGAAATCTGATCCTGGCTCACTAGAAAATGTTGGCATTTACCAGGATTTTGATAAGAAACATAAACCCTATGTTGGAGATGTAGCAGGTGACAAATAGACCTGTTTCTTTTCATTGTGAATGGATAACTCTACTGCATTAACTTATAAATCACCATTGACATTTTTAATTAAAAAGTCAGTATGGAAGAACCTGGACAGCAAATAACTCTTTATACGGAGCAATTCTGTACAAAGCAGCTTGTATTAGACCAATTCTAATACTACATTTTTGCATGTGGATTGGTCCTTGACATAAATTTGTGGCTTCATTCGCACACCAAGATTGTGAGTGTAATTGCACAGATTTTTTAGAACTGTCTGCCAGAGATCATTCATTCATTCATTTAACCCAAAAACTACTATGGAGGCCACAGTAACAACCTACAAATGCAGCATTGGTAGGTTGCTGCTAGAAATTGGATGTAGCTCACATGCCATATCCATCCCCACAATTAATGAGTTAATTAATCCTTAATTAACAGCCCAGTTGAAGGGGAGGGAGGAGAACTTCTTGAGCATAATGTTTTTGTTCTTGGTTTCCTGTTTCTTGTAAGCCGTCCAGAGACTTTTTTAGTAATGAACAGCACAGAAAAATTTAAATAAATAAATAGCTGAAAAACTCCCATTTCATTTTGCAGATAGTAGTGAGTATGATAAGCTGTGGGAGGGGAGGTCACTGACTCGACCATCCAGTAGGAGAAAGTTCAACATGGACAGTTTTATCTTCCACAAAGTTCTTGGGAAAGGAAGCTTTGGAAAGGTAGGTAGCCTTGCCGAGTTTTCTCTACATTTTCAAATGACTGGATAGCTGCTAGTCACACTATGCTGTGATGTCATGTAACAATATGTGGCCACCACACTGGAGTTCAAAATGCTTGCTGAGTGCTGAAAAAGCTCTGATCATCCACCTTTCCCTACATGGGCAGAGGGAGCAGAACCTGGGGAAGAACCTGGTGGGCGGAATGTGGAACCCCCAAGGGGCCACGCAGTCCTTGTGCAGGAGATACCCTCTGCGTCTTGAGAATACATTTGTACTGTGCATACAAATACTGCAAACATCTACATTTTTTGTATTTCATCGACTTTTAGTAAGAAGCATGCAGCATTGTGTGCCTTTGATGAACTCTGCTTTAACACCATAAAAACTGCGGCCATAATCAGCTTTTAGTCTTCTGGATGCCACAAAACACTTTGCTGTGTTAAGTGTGAGCACAGGTCGGCTATAGGATGCAGAGTTACACATTCATTACCTGGGGAACAGATAAGCTAGTTGCACTCAGATCACAAAGGGACCAATCTAGGAAGTTGTCAAATTGCAAAGGCTTCATGGTTTGTATCTCAAATAAATGCTTTGTTTTGCAGGTGCTACTTGCTGAGCTGAAAGGGAAAAATGAATTTTTTGCAGTAAAAGCTTTGAAAAAAGATGTGGTGCTGATTGACGATGATGTGGAATGCACCATGGTGGAAAAGCGGGTCTTAGCACTTGCATGGGAAAATCCATTTCTTACCCACTTATACTGCACTTTTCAGACTAAGGTACAATGCAATCCTTAATTTTACTTTGATATAACTGGCAAAGAGACATGTGCTGTTTTTCTGAAGATTAGTAAATTTGCTTTAAAATAATCAAGAAAGAGCCAGCGAGTCTGTTTCCTTTTTCCTTGCTGTCCTTTTAGCTCTTTTACAGGATGTTTGTCAGTTTCTAATGGAAGTGAGTCACTTGTGCAATGCAGATGTGTTGGAAGCGGGGCGGGGTGTGAGTTGTCTCCATAAGTAAATGCGATACTCCTGAAATGGATGGCAAAGGCCTCCAGCCAGAGGCTGGAAGCTGTGTGCGATTGAACTCGGCTGAGGGACACGTTCACGAGATGCGGCTAGAGCAGCGGGCTAGCATTGTGTTCTCTCCTCTTTGTGCACAGGACCATCTGTTCTTCGTTATGGAGTTCCTTAATGGTGGAGACCTGATGTTCCACATACAGGACAAAGGACGGTTTGATCTCTTCAGAGCTACGTAAGTGTCGCTAATACAGCAGAGTGGGATGCGGGTTGTTCTGCCCATTTGAAACCTTGCACAAGTTCAAGAGTTCATGATGAGTTGTACTGTCTGCTATACCTATACAATACGACAAAAGGTGTTGAAATCATATTGCAGATAACTGTGCCTTCCCAGATGCTTAGAGATCGAGTCACTGCACGCATGGCTAGCAGGGGATTTGTCCAGCATGGACATGGGAGAGGCAGGGTCAGGAAGTATCATTTTGTGCAGGCCTTCCACGCCCGCGCGGGTTCCTCTGAGACGGTCCCCTCACCTTGTAGCAAGGAGTTGGAGCACACCGCTTATCATTCTCTTTCAAATCTGTTTGCTTTCCTTAAATAGATAAGGATACGTGTGTTACATGTACATGCACATACAAATATACTCATGCATGCACCCACACGCACCCGTCAACCTGGGTACATATATGTGCCTCCCCAGGCCTTAAGATCATCTTCTGGGGTCCTTCTTAGGGAGTCCCCTTTGATGGAAGTAAGGAGGGTACAGACCAGGGGAAGGGCCTTTTCAGTTGTAGCACCCCATTTATGGAATCAGCTCCCCAAAGAGTTATGCCTGGTACCTACCCTTTTTTTTCTTTTTCATGCCAGTTGACAAACTTTTTCTTCTCCAGGTATTTTAATAGCTAAATTCTATTTTTAATATTGTATTTTATATTACTGCAATTTGATGAGGGTGGCAGTGGGCTTGTTGTTGGTATTGATTGGTTTAGTGGTTTTGTTGTCTTATTGCGATACACTGCTTGTTTTTGCTTTTTACTTTGTTAACCACTCAAAGATCCTTCAGGCTATTGGGTGGTATAAAATGAGATAGATAAAGAGGGAGTGCAAACAGGCTAAAATAAAAATCTCTGTAAATATTCCCTTACCTAAGGAAATATTGGACCCACAACGAGGCAAGCTGAGCCTTTTGACTTAGATGGCAGATCCAGAGGGCATCCCATGGGCAACCCCTGGAGGCCATTCACCTGCCCAGAGGAGAGAGCCCAGCCAGCTCTGGCTGCCAACTGTTGAGCAGGCCCCATCGTTTAACTGGGTGCTGTGCAAAGAAAGATTTCTTTTTATGCATCCTGAATATCCCACCAGTCAGCCTCATGAGAGGACCCGGCTTTTAGGCTTATGAGAGCAAATGGTATCAAGGACAGCGCTAGTTATCTGAAAGAACTGTGCCACAGACCCATTCCAACCATTTTTTTTGCTATTTTGCACATGTTAATATGCATATGCAAATATATGTACATAACTCAAGAATAGTTCTCATATTGTAAATCTTATAGAGGCAAACTAATCAACCTCTTGCCTGCTTTCAGGACAGCTGTGCAATGGCCCAAGTTGCATTTGCTTAAAACTTGCCCTCCATGCACCCCCGCTTTTCCTATTCTCACCCCAAATAGAAATCCAGGGGTCCAAGACAGAACATTTTCTTTGTTATGGGTTAACTTTTCATTCAAGAAAAACTGCTGGTACATTAAGGTCAGTGTCATATTTAAAATAACACCATAAATACATTGGGGTGAAATTCACATATATACAATTACAATGCAAACAGATGCTGCAGACTTTTATGCTGGGAGAAAGCATATGTGTGAAAGCAATGGGCAGTGGGACCTGTTTCCCCTGGGCCCACTTTGCCCTCCCTATTTTTCTTCCTTTGTATTTCCGTAGCAGTAACAAACAGATAAATACGCTTTGCCACCCCACTGTCCTCTGTGGGGAAAGAACAGGCAGGAAGGCCTGTTGTGTTCCACCTCCCGCCCCCTTTCGTCTGCTGTGCTGGCTTCCCTCCCAGGCAACACAATAATGCCACACTTGCTCAGGGCCACAGCCTGTGACCAGCGCCATCTCCAGTTAGGGCCTCTGGAGGAAACGGGGGAAATTCCAGGCCCTCCCGATTTAGGACGCCCCTATCTGTATGTGAGCATTGCACTGTTCCAATAAAATACCCTGCGAAGAATATTTCATCCTGTATCCAAACAGGAGGGTGTTCCACATATCGGCATACATTCCAATGTGATTAAAAACTCCTGCAAGTAGTGATGCCACCGACGTCCCTAATTAATTTGCTTTCCAGTGGAACCTTGCCCATTCATAACGCTCAGTTTTTGCCCATGCACTGCACTGGGTACATTAACTCTTCCTTAATTTTTGCCACCGCCCCTGCTCTGGTGCCATCACAAGGAATAAAACTGGGCAGCGCCCCCAACAGTGTTTGGTTGTTGTTATTAAGGGGTCGGGAACATGTAGCCCACAAATACCAGGTTCACTCCTCTGACCTCAATCGACCCTTGCTCTCTCCCTGTCACTGTCACGCCATCCTTGAAGCATTATTTTTCCAGCTGATAGAATGGTTTGGCTTTGTTGTCCTTGCCCAGCCAGTCATGGGCTTTCCTTCCCTCCAGAGCTGCCGGTGCCTCTCTTTAACAAACGCATCACTTCATTTTGTCAAGTAAAGCCCTGCCTCGCCCTAACTCTCGCTCTTGTTCTTGCAAACTCCATTAACACTTTAAAAAGGCCAAGCTGTTTGAGAAAGCTCTTTTACATATGCCAGGATAGCACCAGATCAAATAATTAGTGTAGTCAGTTCTGCAGGGAAGGGAACAAAGCTCACATTATAAAAGCAAGATGAAATTAATGCCTGTAAGGGAAAACACTGTGATTGGTGATCACAGGCCTAGACACTATGCAAATGTAGGAAGGCAGCCAGAATTGTGTATAATCACTGGGATCTCTAAGGGCCTATTTCAGTGAGTCTACTGATGCTTCATCTTTATTGCTAGCTAAAGCGCTTCCTCCCACTATTCATGGTGCTCTTGCTGCACCCAAACCCTGTATTCATCTTCTTGTAGTTTTCAAACAAACACGGAGCCTCTAGTCTGGTCACAGAGTTTCAGCCCAAGTTCTTTCTGTAGCTTGCCTAAGAAATAGGGTGAAATGCCCGCAGGGGCATAGGATGCTGCCTTACCAGGAGCCAGACAATCAGTCTACCTGTGTTGACCAGAAGTGGCTCTCTGGGGTTTTAGGCAGGGATTTTTCAAGCCCAGCTGGAGATGATGGGCTTTAAAGCCAGGGGCAAAGCAGGGGCTCCACCACTGAGTCATGGTCCTATTCCCCAAACGCACATGCTGGAGAACTGATTGTGTGATGATTTGCACTCTGAGTGCAAGGCTGTGTACGTATGAATACTTGCTTGTGAAGCTCCCAAAAGAATTGGAGGGGTATGGAGGTATGGAGGGGTACAGTTTCAGCCTTGAACTAGTAAGTGCCATGGCAGAGCAAAGTTATGGGTAGTTACGGTCAAACTTCCCCTGGGTGAGTTGGAACATAAAATGGACTCACCTGTGTAGGGTCAAATGAAATTCTGGCTCACAGTGAACTTCCTTTAGCTTTTGTTGATGTACTAGACCACAGCACACCTTGCGAGCTGCCGTCTGGAAAGACATCATGCTTCTCAGGCTGGAGCTGCAGAGCTGTGGGAAATGAGGGGTTCTGCTCAGCAGACCGTAGGGGAGGGCAGGTGACCCTTTGGGGTTCATGGGCTCATCTTTTTAAATGTGTCCATGGGAACCACCAGAAATCATAGGGTGGACAGGCGAGTTGGCTTCTCTTCACTATTCCCTTTCTCTTCATCTCTGCCTATTACCCTCTTCTACACAACACCCGTTCCTGTGCTCTGCTTTTCTCCAGACTGTGGGAGGGGAGGGGAGGGGATACATGGTGGTTTCCCAGATCGGAAAACCACCATGT